ATCAGAACCAACAGGACCATAACGTCCACCAGAACCAACAGGACCATCAGAACCAATGGGACCATCAGGTCCATCATGAACCAACAGGACCATCAGAACCAAAGAGACTATCAGATAAGATCAGATAAGATAAGCTTTATTTGTCACATACACATTCTTACACGGTACAATGTGCAGTGGGATCATTAGGTCTATCAGAACCATCAAAATCAGAACCCACGCCAATGAAAATAAATGACCATGTTAATGGATCAGTATAATTGCTCATCAAAGGAATATCAAACCAAATTAAAGAAGTTTCTGAGATGAGCTTGAATCGGTTACTTTAGAGATAATTCCTGTAGTTTATGTTTCCTAATGTCCAGCTTCACTCCTATAAACAGGAAGAAAAAGCTTCAGCAGTGAAACTGTAGATAAAAACATGGCCTGTAATGGTTTGAACAGAAAAGTCAGAGGATATTTGCTGCTTGTTGTGCTAATAGAAACCGGCTAATTATCTCCCACTCAATTACTAATATTGATCGGCTGCTTGGCTGCTGCTGCTGGAATCACACTAATGGTCTGAATGTGGTCCAACGCCATAAATTAGACGGACGGAGAGCTGGAGGCTGAAGAGCTGCCAGCACACTGCAGATACTGAGGGAGAGCACACCTGTACAACACACCTGTACAACACACCTATACAACCACACAGACGCCACAGGGACAGGTCTTGAAGAAAGTTAAATACAACATGATGCATTCAGGTGTCTCCATGTCCTCAGAACTATCTTCCTTGCAGCGTGATGCGTTCAAGGACGGTGGAGCTGGAGGCGTCTCTCGGGGTAACGAGTCCTGATGGTGTCAGAGATATTGGTGCAGTGAAGAGGTCTCGCTCTGACGCCTGCAGCGGCACCGCTCCGCTGTCAGACGGATGTTTCTTAATAACTTCGCCGGTTTGACACGTTGAGACTCGACAGCCTGAAGCAGCAGAAACTCTGCAGATAGGATTCATATCTGCACTTCTCACGTCGCTCCTCATGAACTCTGACTGAACCTTTTTATTAAGTTTAAATCCACAGCTGAGCAGCATCACAGCAAAGAGATAGGACGAAACTCAACGAGATTAATAAACTACAAATGGTTCATCAAAGTGCAGCTAGTTCTGTTTCACTACAACCAACAGTTTGTGTTTGAAGGAAACTGGAGTTTTACTGGAGATTTATTGTCAGACACACAACCACACACTGACCCACATTCTGTCATGAAACATTCATGCAACTGTCAATCTGAACTCTCAGCAGCAGCACAACTATGAAATTCTAATAATGAATGAATAAAGTAAAATTAACTGCAGATGAATTCAACCAACTGACACTGAATCAAACAGCAGAACTCTGCAGAACACAGAACAATAATATTAACATGAGCTGGAACATTATTTAACATCACCTACAGTATTGTGTTGAATTTTATTGAAGTACATTGTTGTGGGATTTTTAAACTAAACAAATAATAACCTGGAAAATATGATGTTTTAATGATGTTTAAATTAGATCCATGTGCAAACTGAACAATCCTGTGTAAACCTGTGCAATTACAACTCTCAAAAAACTTGTAATCAGTACAGCAATCAGGATAAAAGATTGTCTGAAGATGAGAGACATGAGCTGACAAGATGTAAGAACGAGGCTGATGAGATATAACGAGGCTGACGAAATAAAGACAAGGCTGACGAGATGTAAGGACGAGGCTGACGAGAGATAACAGCAAGGCTGACGAGATATAAACAAGAGGCTGACGAGATAAAGACGAGGCTGACGAGATGCAAGGACGAGGCTGATGAGAGATAACGAGGCTGACAAGATATAAAGACGAGGCTGACAAGATGCATGGATGACGCTGACGATGCTAACGAGATATAAAGATGAGGCTGACGAGATAAAGACAAGGCTGACGAGATAAAGACAAGGCTGACGAGATGTAAGGACGAGGCTGACGAGACATAAAGACAAGGCTGACGATATAAAGACCAGACTGACGAGAGATAAAGACGAAGCTGACGAGATGTAAGGATGAGGCTGACGAGAGATAACAACGAGACTGACGAGAGTTAAAGACGAGGCTGATGAGCAATAAAGACGAGGTTGACGAGAGATAAAGACGAGTCTGACGACATAAAGACGAGGCTGGCAAGATATAAAGACGAGGCTGACGAGAGATAAAGATGGGGCCAACGAGATATAAAGACCAGGTTGATGATATAAAGACGAGGCTGATGAGAGGTAAAGACAAGGTTGACGAGATATAATGACAAGTTCATGAAGGGTGCATGAATGACGAGGACAGAAGAAAGGAACGAAGCCTTAAAACTGCCACGTTTGTTTATTTTTTTAAAGCTGGTAGTTGCAAACCTACCACGATTAGATCAGACACTCCCAGATGTGAATAAATTCACACACAGTGGTGGCAGAAATGCCTGAATGGTCTTTCTAATAGAATGGTTTGTGGTTCCCAGGAGAAGGAGGAGAATTTGTGAGGACTTTGCAGGAGTATATAAGAACTTGCAGAAAGTTGTTTAGTCAGTAAAAATCTTGAGATTTTGTCCGTTTGTTCTCACAGCCTCTGCATTGAATAAACATCATTCACATTAGACTTTGAAAAATGTTTGAAGGCTTTTCCTTAAAAACCTTTTGAAGACTCCAATAGTTGCTCCAGAGGGGATTTCTTTGACTAAATGTTGGACAAAGCTGCCTGATCATCACTGAATCACAACAAAATCACTGCCAGTTTTACTTCTTACTTTTCTATTCCGGTTTTGTTTCAGTTGACTTATTTGTGTTTTCACTGATGTATCAAACCTAAACCTAATAGCTGTTCTGTTATTTAGTTCATTAAACTCATGCTACTGTCATTTTTCTGGAACTTCCTCAGGTTGATCCTTAGTTTATGTCCACTGTCACACAGGTGGCCTAAGGAGAGCACAGTTTGCAGTAGGATGCTAGTCATGCTAATACAGAATAATGTTTTCACTTAACTGCAATCTTTGCAATCAATAATCAATTAATTGATAACACAGATTGATCACAGTAGACATTTGTGATGGTACAGACTCCTGTTTTGTTCCTCAGTCAACTCTATTCCCGCTGTTACTGTGATCCAGGAACTCTGTTGATTCCAGTTTGTGTTACACATACGACCTCTGGTTTGGAGGTCATGAACCTCCTCAGAGTCTCTGTCATGGTGCCGTTGCTGTTAAACTCCCACAATGCCCTCTGCTTGTTTCTGATGTGCAGCTGGTGGTTTAAAGACGCCGTTTCATCATGCTGATGTTTTCTGGTATAACGACATTAAAGGAGCTTTGGTGTCGAGCTAATCAGGTTCAGATCTGAAACAACAGACGAACATGTTGGTTCTGTTTGAGCTTTAATCTGCAGACGATCAAGTGGTGATTTAAAACAACAGATAGAAATGCAGAGTGAGAGCTGAGCCTCCTCTGCTTTATAAATGTGCAACAGCCGGATGTGCTCTGCTGAGACTAATCGGTTTGAAGCGCTGCTGTCATGGAGGATGAAGCTTTTTCTTTTAACACTCAGTCTGGCTCATTGTGGGCAGGCGGCTGCAGGAAGAGTCTGAAAACGTGACAGAGGCGGGGGACGACCAGAGTCCGTCCGTCCAGCCAAAGGAGGGATTATCTCCTCCTGACAGTCCGTTTGAAGTGAGCAGAGAGGATTTGGTTAATTACAAAGTGCCCGTCATGATCACGGCGGGGCGTTTCTTCTTCGTGTTCCTGTCAGCCGCCACACCATCACTTATTATGAATGAGACAGAAGAGTAAAAGCTCCTCGGGAGAGACGAAGGCCGGAAGGACCAGAAGACTCATTAATAAACCAACAGCGACGCCGAGGTTAAACTCACCTTCACCTCCAGAGACGCAGGAACACTAAGAACGACATGATTCAGCGTGAATTACACCACAACGACGTAACACAGACACAACATTTACACTGTGTTCATACAACACAGACAAACACGGCGTCTGTGTTCAGAGGACACTGAGACAACAGCAAACATGGAGGAAAACTCAGCTTCACCTCCAGGGACGTCGAAACAAGACGATGACAGATTCAAACCACGTCCACACATCAAGACCAGACACAAGAAACAAACCACACCTCGACCATCTGCCAACAGCAAAGAAAAGCAGGGTTTATATCAGTGTTTAGTGGACTATCAGGCATGATGCAGTCCATGTCTGGAGATAATCTACTGGTTAGGGGAGAGAAATCCTCCACGCTGAAGCCTTCCAATATTTTAACATCTGTGGAAACATGTTGGATGTGTTGAGTTCAAGTTTTTACATTTTTGCAAAATAAATTATCAAAGAAATGTTCCTCTGTAAAGGGCTGCAGGGTGGCGCAATTGGTAGCACTGTTGCCTCGCAGCAAGAAGGTTGCTGGTTCGCGTCCCGGTGGGGGCACCGGAATCTTTCTGCGTGGAGTTTGCTTGTTCTCCCCGTGCAGCGTGGGTTCTCTCTGGGTTCTCCGGCTTCCTCCCACACAGACCAAAAACATGTTGAGGTTAATTGGTGATTCTAAATTGTCCATAGGTGTGAATGTGAGTGTGCTTGGTTGTCTGTCTCTAAGTGTAGTCCTGTGATAGACTGGCGACCTGTCCAGGGTGTCCCCTGCCTTCGCCCTAAGTCGACTGGGATAGACTCCAGCCCCCCCGCGACCCTAGTGAGGATTAAGCGGTGTATAGATAATGGATGGATGGATGTTGCTCTTTAATGGTTTTCATCGTTCTGAGTCCTGCTGACAGAAGATATCTCTGAGTTCTCTGTCCTCCTTTGTGTTGTGGTTCCACAGAGCTGCAGGACTTTTTGTTGAAACATGAGCCTCAGAGAAGGAACCTGAGTTCAGGGGGTTTAACTACCCTGTTGGTTAGAAAACCTTTGACAGACCATCTGAAACAAGATGTGTGATGTAAACTCTGATGATGTCCCAGGGGGCGGGGCTTACCTTTGTGCGTGAGGCAGCGAACACTCTGTTTGCTTTGGATATCCCAGAGCCGGACCGTCTCGTCATGTGACCCGGACAGCAGGAGCGTCCCGTCCATCGACACCGAGAGACACGTCACCAGGTTCCTGAGGAGAACCAGAGTCCAGAATCCTGATCGGTTAGCTTCCCCCATGTTGATCAATAAGCAGACAAGTCAACAGGTTCTTGAGGATCAGAACCACCACAGGACTGGGACCAGTCTGAGGACCAAAAGATGTTCTTTCTGAATTTGGATGGACCTGAAGGTGGTTCTCCTTCAGTGGAACCATTTTGGAGTCATTTACAATCACTGGACCAGAAGTGGAACCTGATTCTAAGCTGAAGCATGTACATGATGTGAATATTTGCCATGTGACTGATCACCGTTATTGATCAGCACTGTTTCAAAGAAGATCAAATGTCCAAACATGCTGACAAAGTCCACTACTTTTATGGATGAATGTATTTGTCATGACTGTGGATGTTTGTGTTCCTGTATTTGTGTGCTGCAGAGTTCAGGATGTGAGCTGCTGTTTGTCCTGGACTGCCTGCCTAGCCCTGCACCCAAACCCTTATCGGTGGTTCTGTTCAGTTGGTGCTCTGCTCTTTGGTCCACTCCTGCCAGACGAGTCGAGCGGTGAGTCCAGGTTCTGGTTTCTGGTTCTTCTGGTGTTAATCAGCATGAAGCCACAGTTAAACTGGACAGACGCTCCAAACCAAAGAGGAGCTGAGCTGCTCAGACTCTATTTACAATGGAGCCTCATCTCTGATACACTCATCATATTTAAAGTCGGGAGGAAACTTTCCTGAACGAACTTCTATCTGCGGACTCACCTGTGTCCTTTGAACACCTGGTTCCCTTCGTTGTCAGACTGAAAGGCTTTTTCCCGACTGAGACTCTGCAAATGAAACACAAACAGATCATCAGTGAAGTCAGGGTTCCTGTTTTAGCTGCTTGATACAAAAACAAAACTCTCACGATTCTTCTTTTTTACAGAGAAGTGACAGAACACTTTGACTTAAGATTCTTGGATATACAGAAACACAAACTGACTCTGAATCATTTCAACAGCCTCCTATAAAGACTGAACAAGAACCTGTGAAGCTGGAGTCATAGTGACGTGATGGAGACATAAAAGAGGGATTTTCCACAACTGTTAATCCCTCAGAGCTGAAGCAGGTCAGCAAACAGACGTCACTGTTCAAAGGTTCTCTGATCCAAACAATCCTGTCTCAGTTCTGTTTTGGGGTTTTCTGTCGAGAACAGCACAGTGATCATTTTACTTCAGCAAGAACAAAACACAAAGCGGATCTGTAAAAGTAATTTTCTTTAATGTTGATGGGGTCTTAAATTCAATTAACAGAGGTGAGCTTCTGTCTACATTGAAAAGACAAGAAATCACAGAAACCTTTACTCCAAAACACAAGTCTGTGTGAAGGTTCAACATCGTGACTCTGCTCAAGAGATTAAAGCCTGTCGTGTCCCAAAATCATTTTACATGTAAATGGCTCTACATTATTTTACATGCCGATGACTTCTCATCACTTTCAACGTCTGCGTTCAGCGATTTAAACACGAGCTCTGGTTGGAGGTCATGAACCTCCTCAGAGTCTCTGTCATGGTCCCGTTGCTGCTAAACTCCCACAATGCTCTCTGCTGCCAACATGAACTGTAGTCTGAGTGACGCCTCCTCTGGTCTCTACAGGACTCACTTTGGTACATTTCATCCTCGACATTTGCACAACGGTAAGTGCATTTCTCAAACTGATGGCGTTGGGCTCTGAAGACAAATGTCTGAGTCCATCCCGACCTGAAAGATTCTGTGGATTCATCAGCAGCAGTTATTTCACTACGTATAAACAAACCTCAGCTTCAGGAAAATTAAAACAGCTTTGATTTGCTTAGTGTTACGAAAGAATTTCCAGTTTTAAACAAAGAAAATCTGAAATCGTCTGGAACATGAGTTACTCGACTGGAAAACACAATTTATTCAATAGCGGAGCCAAAAACTGGCGAAACAAAACAGGAAAAATTCAAGAGAACTTTGACAGATTTGACTCTGCAGCGAAGGTCCCACTGAGACTCCGACTCTTATTCAGAATCAAAGTTCAACATGCTTCTGCCACAGCAGTGAACTCAGCCATCTGTACATCAAACTTCTTCATTTCTCTCTCCATCTGTTTTTATTACTACTGAAGTAGATCAAACAGAGAAACCAAAACATTCGAGTTACTACGAAAGAGGACGAAGAGAAACGAGATCCGTCGTGTTCTCGCCTCAGTTATAAATGATTTACATCCATCTCGGCTCAGAGACTGAAGAACTTCATTCAGCTGGATTTATTCAACTAGACGGACTGTGGACGGTTTAACAAGGATGTTTACATGTGGTCAAACTATNCTGGGACGCGAACCGGCTGCACATGGATTTAATTTATGTAAATGTAATTTAAAATAAGGAAATACAGTCGTGGAAAAAATGATTAGATCACCCTTGTTTTCTTCAATTTCTTTTTCATTTTAATGCCTGGTACCACAAGCGGTATATAACCTGAAGAATACAATAAACACGACTAAAAATGCAGCTGATTCCATAATACTTCATGTCCTATTGGACATGCTTAAGCTTAATTGTATTCCCAGGGTATATAAGAGGCCATTTCATGTCAGCAGCAGCACTGCACATGTAAAGGCCTGGAGTGGTTTCCTGCTTACATTCAAGCTGTAGCACAACTCAGAAGTGGTCAGCTCTCACATAATGCCAAAAACAAAAGAATTATGTGAAGCCACAAAGGCAGCCATCTTGACACTGCTGGAAATTGGCATGAGTGAGAGACAGGTTGCGAAAAAACTGAAGATCTCCAAGACAGCTGTTGATTACACCAAGAAAAAACAAGCCCAACATGGTGCTACCAAATTGCTAGCTGGTCGTGGCAGGAAATGTATTTCTACCCCATGAGATGACCGTACACTCATCCGTTCCTGTGTCAGGAATCATCGTCAGACCTCCAGGGCCCTTAAAAATGAGTGGGCACTGTGCAGAAGTGTGACTTGTTGGGCAAGGACAGTCGGAAACCGACTTGTTGAAGCTGGTCTGAAGTCACACAGGGCATGGAAGAAGCCCTTCATCAACCAAAGGCAGAGGAAAGCCCGGTTACTCTATGTTGGGGATCACAAGGATTGGACTGTTGATGGTTGGGCTGAGGTTCTCTTCAGTGATGAACCCAATGTTCAGTTGATGCCCACTCCAGCCAACTTACTGGTTAGGAGGAAGAATGGAGAAGCCTACAGACCAGACTGTTTTGCCCCTACAGTAAAACATGGGGGTGGATAAGTGATGATCTGGGCTTGTTTCAGTATGGGTGGAACAGGGAAAATACAATTGTGTGAAGGGCGAATGAACTGGGTCATGTACTGGGCTACTCTGGAAAACAGCCTTCTTCCATCAGTTGGAAAACTCTTTCCTCCCTCCAATGACTGGATTTTCCAACAAGGCAATGCCCCTTGACACACGGTGAGGTCAGTTAAAGCCTGGATGGAGAACCAGAACATTGGAACCATGCCTTGGCCTGCTCAATCACCAGATCTACATCCAACTGAAAACCTGTGGAAAGTCATCATACGCAAAATGGAGAACCACAAGCCCAAAAACAAAGCACATTAGTTTGAATTTGTGCAACAGGAATGGGCTGCTGGGGCAGCAGAACAATGTCAGAAGCTGGTGGAGAGCAGGCCAAGACGCATGGCTGCAGAAACAATGGTTATGCAATCAAGTACTAACTCCTGTGTGTATCATGTGACTAAAACAGATAGAAAAGAAAACATGGAATGCCTAAAACATCTGTTGTTGGCAGCACCATGCCATAGCTACTGGTGTAAGCACTTAAGGGATTTTGGTTATTATCAAGAAACCCCTGGAACATGTCTAGATATCAGCTCTGAAATAAACTCGTAGGAGCTGTTTTTGTTGTTATCATTATATTTGTCCAAACAAATGTACCTTTTGTAGTATCAGGCATTAAAATGAACAAGCAGTTGGAGAAAACAAGGTGGTCTGATCATTTTTCCATGACTGTATATGAGTATTCTGAGATAGTTTTTTACAAAATATTTAATGTTAGACACTTCACCGTGTCTTATGTAGTTTTATTGATATCCCTGTGTGTCCCAAAAATATGGGGGAAAAGTCTGCAAAACAAAAAGCAAAAACTAAATGTTTATTCAAGTGTAGACGCTGAAAGGCGGTTGGTTTATTTAAATGAGTGTTTTTGTATAAAGTTTGGTGTAAATTTGGCCTCCAGAGGGGATTAATGAGAGTAATTCAGTGTTTATCTGACAGACTGCAGATTACAGACGAACAGAGATCTTCTGTTGGCTTTATGATTAATTGAACTTCAGGTGGATTAACGGACAAACTGAGCTGACGGAGCGAACAGAAGCTCAAGTTTGTCGACGATGCTCTACTTTATTCACAGGAAAAATGATTTACTGTTCAGCATGTCGAAAACAGGCCACGACTTAAAAACCCCAGAAACATCAAAACACTGATAACTACACACTTAATGACCAAAATTATCAAAACACATTTCAAAGTTGGCAAACATTTAATAATGAACTTGCTCCAGTTAGAATGTCTTCAGTAGATTTGGACTTTTTCACGGTTTTGTTGATGTAGCAGCTTTTAGGAAATTAATTAATTCAATACCAATACTGTTAATTACCTTTTTTATTTTGAACTGCAGTTGTGTATTTTAACACATAATATTTAAACGATATTAAGTTGATGCAACATTATGTCAACCATCAAAATACTGTTTGTCACATTAGAACTTTTATCTTGAATTAAGCATTTAATTATATATTAGGAATTGAATCACTTCTTAGAGTGTACAGATGTTAAGTCCTTTCTGAGCCTGAATTCAAAATTTTGTCTGATAAAATGAAAATTGCCTGTACTTTGGCTAAACAGTACACAGTATGAGTATTGTGAGTATTCTGACAGATACATGAGTCACAGTTAGCCTGAATCGAATGTAAAACTGATGCTGTTTGTTTCTGTAGAATCTGATTTGCTGAAAACGGATTCATTAATAACATACGTTGTGACACATTTCATCTCCTGTCTTTTGGATGTTTCTGGTCCATATTGCAATTTCAATATTATGTCAGTATATATACGGTTCAGCTTGGTATATACTGAAGCAAACACAGCTGCAGAAATATAATGAGATATTTCAAGACCTCATACTAAAAAAAAAACCTGCAGAACTCGACTTTGACATGCTGGAGACTGTGACTCAGTGGATGCAAATCATGGTCATATATTGTGGGACTCCCCCACACTGGGTTCATATTGGACGGCATTCACAGAACATTAAGTACGATATTCAGGACTGAAATACCCCTGAACTCTGAGAGCCTTTATCCGGCCACGTTCTGCCTTTAAAGCTGAGGATATAAATCTGCTGCAGGCTCTTTGGTTAAATCCAGCCTCATCTACGCTGAACATTGGTACCACATCATTTCAGAAATATTCAAAATGGAAACGCTGACTTCTCTTTGAAGATCCAAAAAGACAAATTCTATCACATTTGGAACAAATGGATTAAGTTAATAAGCCGAGCGAGAGCAGCCTTTGTTTGACTTCACCTGATTCAATCTGTTGTTCATGAGAACAGCTGCGAGGTTCAGCTCCCTTCGTTCTGATGTTCACTTCCTTATTCAACAGAGCTTCATCAAACAGATTTACCTGGAAACAGCACAGGTGTACGTGTGCAGGTACAACACCTGTCCTTTATTCACATTCAGGAGCTTCATGAACTGAACTGTCCTTTAAAAACTGAACATCTCCTCAGAGACCAAAGCATGCTTGATTAAATAATAGTTTAAATGAGGAGCTGCAGCTTCGGTTCACAGATTCAAACGTCCTCCGAGACGAAGACAGAATCAGCGCTGAGGGAGGACGAGGTTCTTATGGAAAACAAGCGGCGGGTTTGTTTGAAGGATTAACTCTGCGAAGCTTTAAAATGTAAATCTGCTGTGAAAAGAAACAACAGCGTATTGAGTCAGAGAAGAAGAAGAAAAGATGGAGACGAGTAAATAAAGACACAAATCAAAGCTGCTCTAAACGCTAACACACACTGTCTAATGTAGCTTCTACTGGAAACCAATGAGCTGCTTTAATCCAACAACAAACACTTTAAACAGATTCAGCTTCACTGTATCCAGCAGCGACACTGAAATCATCATCAGTGTGAACAACACTGATCTGCTGTAACTGTTCCACCTGCAGCTGATTCAGACTCACCTAGAGATAAACTGCTTTCATTAAACAGGGTCAGACTCAACAGACGGTAGGATGTAGAGGTGGAATAAGACATCTCACAGTCATCAGATTAATTCTAATGAGATCAGCAGAATGTTTTCTCTGATGAAGTCAGAAACAAACTCTTTAAAGAGACAATACTAATAATTCAAAGTAGAAACTTAAAGAACCAAAGTGAATCCAGCTGTGATCAGTGAATCTAAACTGAGTCCAGCTGTGGTTCCCATCAGTCTACCTGCATGAACATGGTTCTACAATGAGCTGAGAACAGCAGAATCTTCTCAGTTCTGGACCTATGGACTGTGTCTATCTATGTCTGCATCATGGTTCCACGTGGAAAAGAAGTGAACAGAGGAAGAGAAACATCTGACTGAGAGACTTGACAAAGATGGAAAAGGATCCGGCAGATCAGAGAGCAGCTAAAACCCAGTGAAGCCCAGTGTGAGCAGTAATCAGGAGGTCTAGAAGGAGCCATAGCAGCACTGATCAGGGCTGCAGTGGTCGTCCTCCTACAATGACTCCACGGACAGTCAACTACTTTCACTATGTAGCTGTGAAGAACAGACAAAGGCAGCTGCTTCAGACTTGGCACCGGGGTTATCAATGGAGACCAGAGTTAGTGTGAAGCTCAGACAGTGTGAAGGACGCTTCAGAACATCAACCTCTATGGACAGAGGACCAGAACTAAACCTGGCTGCTGCTCACAACTAAACTTCCAGATGAAAATAGAAGACGATAAGAAGCCTTTGTTGGGAACCTGAACCTGACCAGGACCACCACAGTGGATGCATCGCCCTGGCAGTGAAGCATGGAGGTGGCAGTATCATGATATGGGGCTGCATGAGGGCAGAAGGTGTTGATGACATTTCTAGATGCTCCATGAATGTCTGAGGATGAACCAGAATACTGATAAACACTCACCTGACTGCACAGAGACACCTGGAAAATGTTTCCATCACTTCCTCCACAGAACACAAAGTACTCGCAGGGGTCAAAGGTCACCGCCATAATCTCCACATCAAAGAGGATAGACAGCAGCAGCTCTCCAGAAGATAACTCCCACACCTGCACAGGTAGAGAACAACTGAGGTCATCTTCTCAAACCTGCAGCTTCAGACATATTTGGTTCCTACATGGTTCCTCATAAGGCTCTTGGGTTCTTCAAAGCTCCATCACAAAATGAAGAATGTCTTTATTTCCCTCTTCACCTACTTTCTGTGGTTCTTTAGAGGTTCTTCGTGTTTATTGGAGTTGTTTGGTTTCAGGTAAAATCAGAGCTGAACATGATTTTATTCTGGACGAATCATTTGGTCGATAAAACAACAGAAAACAGAAAAATGTTCTTCACAGTTTCACAGATTGCAGACTGGTGTCTTAGAACATGTTGTGCTGTCTGAACAACAGACCAGAACCCATAATGTTAAATATGTTCTCATAGAAGGAACCCAGAAATGCCGTAAATTCTTATATTTCACTTTTTTGCTTAAAAATATTACTTTGAATTCTTATCTAGTCCTTTTATCGAATTAGAACCAGGTGGGTCCAAAATCAAATCACAAAACTTTTCCTAAATTACTTTTTTTTTTTTTGAATATAAAATCTCAAAAATGGTTCCTTAAAAAAACAATTTTTGCTAAAGTTCTTTGGAGTTCCATTTATTGTGCCTAAAGAAACACTTTTAAAAGTACCTCAAAGAACTATCAAAAAGGTTTTTGAAAAGAACCGTTTGAAGAAATGTTTTCCTTTTCTTACTTAAAGAAAAATTCTCCTACAGCATCACTGCTAAGAACCGTTTTTGGTTCCAGGTAGCACCTTTATTTTTCTAAGTGAGTCCGATTAACCAGACAGCAGCACATTAAAACATGTAAAGTTCTCCAAAGGTTCTGTTGAGATTCTGAAAGAAAAACAGCTGGATTGGTTGGTGTTTGCCTGCAGTGATGTTCCACATTCTACAATTCTACAGTTTCATTCAGCAGATGCTTTTATCCAGAGCGATGTACATCTGAGAGCAGATACAACACAAGCAAGGATCTAGTCAGGAGAAGACAGTCGAGACAAGTGACATAGAACAAGTTCAAGTGTGATAGGACGTTGATGCCAATAGCAGGCCGTGTTGGATGGAATAGGATTTTATTCATTAATTTTTTGTTTGTTGGTTTTCGGGCTGTCAGGTGCAAAGGTGTTCAGTGAAGAGCTGGTCTTTAGTCTTTTCTTAAAGACTGAGAGCTGATCGAACAGAGTTTGGTAACTTGTTCCACCACCGCGGAACCACAGATAAGAGTCGAGCTATCGACCTCGGCCCTGTTGTGGTGGTTGGATCAGGAGGCTTTGGTTGGTTGAGTTAGTGAGCAGAGGGAGTGTAGACCTGAGTGACAGAGTTCAAGTAGGAGGGAGCTGTTCTCGTTGTGGTCTTGTGAGCAAGTGTCAGGGTTTTGGATTTGATGCCGGCAGCGACTGGAAGCCAGTGAAGCAAAATGTTACTGCTATTGGGGGTTTGGTTCGGAATAATGAGCTTTTATTTCATGAATCCTTTTGTTTTCTGTCTCCTTTCTCTGTGTTTGAAACTTTTTCTTCTACAAAGTTGACCAGCCTGTAGCTTGGTTCTACCCAGAACATGCACACAGAACCTGAACGCAGAAGCTGAACGCAGAAGCTGAGTAAAACAGACGATGAAACCAAAACTCTGGACAGCAGACACGTATGTTTGCAGGAGGACTGAGAACATTTGTTTCTCGTTCTTTTCAACACCCAGCCAGATAGTCCTTCAAAGATTTCTGAGCTGGTGGAGACGTTGCTTCTTCTTTGGTTTGTTTAGAAAAGAAAAAAAAATGCAATTTGATAAATGTAGTTCTGGCTTTAGTCAGACAGTTCTTCTGAGAACAGGAAGGTGGAATCTGTTGTTCATTTGCTAAAAACTCAGATAAGATGTTGTTTGCTGGTGATGTTCCAGAATTTATTTTATTTTTTTTTAGAGAAAGCTAAACTCATACGTTTCAAAGAAAGATTTGGTTTCTTATTTCTGCATGTAAACCTGTTTGTTGCTTTTTCTTGGGTTTTCTGAAGAGTTTTCGGGTTTTCATTCATGTTTCAATGCATTTAACTGATCTGTTTCACTCACGGTTCTGTTCTAAGCTGCCTGTTGAACCTGTTTGCGCCTTCACTTAAATTGTTTTTCTTTATTTTATTGTATCTTTTACATGTTTTCATTTTTAATTATTCTATCTAATCTGTGCACACTTCACTGAACTAGTCTGTGCTATCTTCAGTTTTATTCTGCTGTATCTTGTTTTGTGTGATGACCTGCTGTAGAATTAAACCTGCTGCTTTCAGTTCTCTTGTGTTTTTATAAATCTGTACTTAAACACAGGTTTATTGCTGTTTCTGCAGACTCAGCTCCTGTTCCAGACTCCACTTAAACAGCGGATGATTTAAAGCGGCGACACTCGGCCGCTGTTCAACACCTCCTCCATCTATTATGATGTCACAGCGAGCAGACGTGTCATTACCCAGGCTCCGCCTCCTGTGATTTATGTCGGGGGGGGTTTTACCAAAATTAAAAACGGATCTGAGGACACGCTCTACATTTAAAGATATTAATCAGGTTGATCAGAGGTGGTCAGTGGCATCAGCGTCTGATTGGTTCATTCATTCAGTTACAGTGCAGGGAGCTGAGCTCTGATTGGTCAATGGACACGTCAACAACAAACTACATTTAACACTTTACTGCGAGTTCTTCATTCAGTACTTTACTGTGCAGTAACGTTCTACATACACACTGTGTTCTACATATACACAGTACTGACCAAAGGGATTTGGACAGTTTAGTTATTTAACACATTCAATATGAAATAAACTAATAAAACTTTCATCAGTTTTGCAGTAATAGAGGTTCAGGCCTTTAAACGGTCCAAATTTAAAAGGACGTGGACGCTTACATCACTGACGTTCAGTGTTTGGAACATTTAGGTAAAATCCGATCAGCAGATAATCAATAATTCTGATGAAAACAGATGTGAACTCTGATCCACCAAATTCAGTTTCTGCTAACAGGCTACTTCTGTTCGCAGGATCATCATGTGACCTAACACAAGGTCAGACGATGGTCAGATTTCAGCTCAAATGTTTCTGTCTGTCATCATGACATGCACACCTGGTTCACCCGTCTGATCGTCATGGCAACAGGTAGTCGGACAGTCAGGGTAAACACGAGGTGGGCCATGATCACAATATTTATACCAAGAACCTCTGACCATAAGAACTTCTGATTCTAAGGACCTCTGATCATAAGAACTTCTGACCATAAGAACCTCGGATTCTAAGAATCTCTGACCACAAGAACCTTTGACCATAAGAACCTCTGATTATTAGAACCTCTGACTCTAAGAACTTCTACAGAGTGAAAGCATCAGTTTGAAGGTGAAAAAGACGAGAAGTTCCAACAGTTTATCGGCGTGTCAATGACATCTCACTGTTTGTTTGTTGACGTTAAACATCAGAGCTGATAAACAGAAGTAAACACAGAAAGTCACTGTGATCCCTCAGCTCTGCTTTATATCTACAGTCCTGCTCAAAGTTACGACGTTGTTTCATCAAACTGCAGTATAAAGTATATCAACGTATACATCATGTATTTAGATTTGTTTGTTGTTTGTTCATTTGCTCCCAGCAGCAGTTTTGTTTGTTCCGACCTTCCTGACATTTCCACAGAGTTTCAGTAAAAAATAAATCAAACCTGAGCTGCTGATGGAAGTCAACATACCGTGTGTTAATGAAAATCCTTCTACAACAGATTCCTAAACAAAGGCAGAGACTTTTTTCTTTTTCATTTATCCCGTAATGACAACCACTAACAGCTCACCTGCTTGATTCACCTGCAGACACTGACCTCTGCTGGTGGAATGTGTGTATTACAACACAGCAGGTCTACATTAAATTAATTTTTCTTCACTTTTACTGCAATCTCTGCAAAGGAGAGAGAACTTGGAAATGTCGTCTTTCAGTAGAACCAGAGAAAAAACATTTCTTCGATTATGCATTTTTAAAAAATGTAGAAACCAGGAACTAAAATGTTCAACATGTTTCCACAGATGTTTCCAACACCACAGCTCATTTTGTCTCCTCGTCCTGCAGATGTTGAACTATCTCCATGTCTCCAGACTTTTTCACTCTACTCTGCTCATCAGATGTAGAAAGATGTTCCACCAGCAGCTGAATGTATCTCCAACAACTGGCTCCTCTGTTCACTGGTTCTGAGCCATGCTGCATTAATTTATTGATCCAGTAGGTTGGATTTTCCTCTCAGTCTCTCTGAGGAAACACTGCCTGCAGTTCACCTGGAAACTCTCTGAATGTTTCCTGTTGGTCACAGCTGAGTCAGCGGTGGAGGATCAGAACCAGGAGAAGGAAGGTTCTGGTTCTACAGGATCAAAACCAGGAGAAGGAAGGTTCTGGATCTACAGGATCAGAGGAGGAAGGTTCTGGTTCTACATGATCAGAACCGGGAGGAGCAAGGTTCCAGTTCTACAGGGTCAGAACCAGGAGGAGGAAGGTTCTGGATCTACAGGATCAGAACCAGGAGGAGGAAGGTTCTGGTTCTACAGGATCAGAACCAGGAGGAGGAAGGTTCTGATTTTACAGGATCAGAACCAGGAGGAGGAAGGTTCTGGTTCTACAGGATCTGCTACTCTGATTTTAAAGTGATTTTTGATAAAATATCACGAGTTCAAGCTCAGATTTGGATAATTTTTCCTGAAGGATTTTCACGTGTGATACATTCAAAGATCATCTGAAAGTTGAAAATCTAATGATTTTCTCTGTGTTAAAGTTTTTGGCTAATAAACAGCATTATTTTGGAGATTTCTTAAAAGTCCTATCTCGTGAAAATCTGATTTATTGATTTTTGTGGTTGTTATAAACTTGAAGGTATAAAATAAAATCTTTTCTGATATGTTCAGGAGAACCAATCAGAGTGAGCAGCTACCTTTCAGGACTCCAGGTTTATTTACGTCCTACAGCAGCTTTGGCTAATCTCTAAAACGTCTGAACCACGAACAAAATTCATCAAATGTTCTGCTGTTAGAGTGAACACAAGAGTCTTCATGCAGGAGCTGAACATCCAGATTACTGGTGGTCCTCACAACTATAGGAGAACCCTCTGTGTTTGTGTCATGTGGCTAATGTGGCTAACATTAGCTTTGATGGCGGAAACTGTCCCACTGAGGACATCCAGAGATGGTGGAGTTTTAATCTAAACCAGTAAACCAGGACTGGGTGGTTCAGTGTTTAATCTAAACCAATAAACCAGGACTGGGTGGTTCAGTGTTTAATCTAAACCAGTAAACCAGGACTGGGTGGTTCAGTGTTTAATCTAAACCAGTAAACTAGGACTGGGTGGTTCAGGGTCTTCATGGTTCCATCTGGAGCTTCTCTCCTGCTCTCTGTTCTCACATCATTTTAATATCAGCTGAACTCACAATCACCTGCTCTCATCTCCAGAGGTTTCTGTTGTCAGACAGCAGAACCAGGATGAAACAGTGGAGCTCCTCCAGACGACACGTTAACCAGCATCACTTCATTTAAACCTGATTTTAGAACGTCGTCTGACAAACTCACCAAACACAGGAGTTAAAAAACAACGAAGAGCTGAGAATTCACTCAGATTTACTGTAAAATGATCCTCAGAGAGAAAGTTAGAGGATAGAAAGTCCTGCTGTCACACTCATTCATCTGTCAATCATGGACAGTCTTCTTCCTGAAGGGGGTGGGACCAGCAACAGGGGGCGGGGCCAGCAGTGCTCAGTTAAAGCTACAGACACTGAAACCCTTCAGAATAAAACCAGGATGATGGAGTCGTGGAGAAACGAAGCATCTCTGACTGAATCACTGAGATTCGTTCTGAGACAAGAGACTTTAATCTGATTCCAACAGAACCAGTGTGGAGCTTTAAACGTAGTTTTAATTCCTGCTGCTGGTTTTCATGTTTCAGTGTCTGAATATGACAAAAATAAACATCCTCAAAGATCCTGAACTTCAGCTGAACTCAGTAACACATTTTTTATATGTCTGACTAAGAGTCAATTTTATTTATGTTTACATTTATCATCCAGTGCTGATTGGCTGTTCCTGGTGTTGTGCAACTGATTAGATTCAGCTGTGGGTGGGGCACGAAAGGCTCAGAGGAAGCGGCATCACAGAGTATTTCAAGTTAACTCATTTTTATCAGGAATCTGTTAAAAATAATCGCTGCAAAAACTTCTAACGTCTGTTTACTAATTTCTGTTGACCCACAATTTTCACTACATAAGTCTAAATTATTATTCAATGTCACCTGCAGGTGTTCTGTTAGTCTCACCTTGACAGTCTGGTCTAAGGAGGCGGTGGCGACTCTGGCCTGAGCTCCCATCAGGCCACAGTGCAGGTCTGTGATTGGCAGGGAGTGACGAGACAGGACGTGGCGAGGCTCGGGGGCGTGGCTTAAATCCAGCTGGACCACACTGCAACAGAAACGGTCAGAAAACAGTCAGTTGTGGTCCGACTCACAGGCTTCTCCACCAATCAGAGTAAAGACAGTCCAACACATGAGAAGAAACAACACGACAGCAACTTTTACACATCTGAGCTTCGTTAACTTTATTGATCCTGATGAATCGGACAGCAGCCGAGTGTTTATGGACTTAACTACGACAGCGGTTCAGATGATCTGAACGCTCTTAATATTCTGAAGTTCTGAAGTGTGGAATTTTTATGGACGTCAATCCGTCTGTTTCTCTGAGTAAGGAACCGGACTACTGAACTAACCATCAGAGCTGTTCAGGGATGATGAAACATCGGGTCAGTGTTTGTTTCAGTCTCTCTGTTAGAGACATAACATAAAGTTATCAGAAGCAGGCCAATAAAGTTATCAGTAATTATAGATATCAAATGAATTATTGATAAATGCTTAAACCCTCATCAGAAGTTTGGTTTTTCTCATCATGTTGATAGTGATAAATCTGCAGCTTCAGAGACACAAAACAATCCAAGACCTGCTGCAACCAGCTGACCGATGTGTTCAGGTGTGTCTACAGGTGTGTGTTCTGAGGGCTGCACTATAAACTGAGATTCCTGTGTAATCAGGTATGTTGAGCCTAATGTCAGAGTTTTCAGTGTCATTAAGGTGTCTCTCTGTTTATCTGGCTAGATCTCCATGGTAACTGATGCTATGGAGCTAGGTCTCCATGGTAACTGATGCTGTGGCGCTAGGTCTCCATGGTAACTGATGATGTGGAGCTAGGTCTCCGTGGTAACTGATGCTGCTTAGGTCTAAGTCTGGATTTGTTAAACTGGCTTTATAGTACACCACTCAGGTATGTGTTCAGGTGTGTGTTACCTGGACAGACTCCACACCAGAGCCAAGTTGTCTTTTCCTCCCGAAACAAAATGGCTGCTGTCGTCGGTGAATTTCACACAGGTGATGTCCTGATAGTGACGGCTGAGGACAGACAGCAGCTTACCTGTACACACCTGACCAATGAGAAAGCGGACATTAATACATAAGAACCAATCTGAAAACAAATTTTAAGAAAACAATCTGAACCAAACAGAAGGAAAACCCCATTTCACCTGAACCAATAGAGTTCAGGTGACTCTACTTCACATGAACCAACAAGAGGAAAGGTTCTCAGTATTTGAACTCTGTACTTTACAGATTTTATAAACAGTTGTTGCAACTGGTTGCCATGGAAACGAGATGCTTAAAAATTTAAAAAAATTGAGAAAATATATTTGGGGGAAAAAAAAAAAAAGTATGAAATAAATAACCACAGAAGAAGGAGCAGCACAGGCGGAGCTGACTCACCTCCCACAGGTAAATGGCCTCGGCCACCCCAGCAGCCAGGAAGAGTCCATCAGGTGAGGCAGTCAGACAGGTGACCACACCTGGACACACGATCTTCTGCTGCAGCTGATCCTGAACAACAAAGAAAAAAGAAGCAGAACCCTCTGAAGAACCAGCAGAACTTCACTGACGGAGCGAGTCTGTGTACAAATTGAAAATATGAATCATGAGCTCAAACAACCAGCGATCCTTCGATGGAATCAGACCCGTTTATGTTCTGTTGGATTCTGAGTTCAGGTTTTAGAATAATGTGTCCACAACAGTAAGTCAACTGTCGTCTTGAGAGTTCTGAGTAGGAAGCAACTGGACTTCTTCCTGATGATTCTCAGGATGAGAATCTGCACAAACTCAGAAAATCTGTCACATCATCATAAACTGGAAGGTTCTGGAGATTCTGTTGGAGTCAAACCCAGAACCATCAGTCGCAGCAAACGACAGTCAAACAACTTCACATTTTGTTGAAGAACACTGTCTTTGCATTAAGAACAAATGGGTGCAGCAGTGAGTTGATGTTTTCAGTAGAATATTTAATATGTTGCAAAACATAAAGGAAGAAACCGTAAAGTGACATCTGCGGTTTGTTTTGCAGCCAATCAGAGCTTGACAGAAAGTTTCCTGAAAATTAAGGTTTAAACCAAAAGCTGAACAATTTCTGCAAACACAGCAACTAGAACGTGTTCTTCCTGAAGAAATCACAAATGACGGACTACAGAACGTCCTGCTGCTGTTGGAGGAAACACATACTCTGGTTGTTTTATTTCTTTAAACCAATCATAGCCGTGGAACAAAGTGAAGGATGGAGCTTCAGCGTTTCCTCTAAATGGCGACGGTGGAACTGTTCTGGTGGAACATTTGCAGAGACGAGAACCCTGAGTAAAATGGAAAATCCACCAATCCAGATCAGCAGAGCTTCCTGACTGCACGATTTCAATCCTCGATGAAAACCTAGTTTCAGTTACAGTTCAGTAGTTTGTTGTTGTTGTTGTTTCTGTAGCACACAGAGAATGTTAAGATAATCGGCCAATGGCAGGTCTTCACCTGTAAAATCTGCCTGTACATCAGGTGAGTCAGACGAAGTGAGACTGAAGGAAGCTGCTGCAATTTTCTTACAGTCTAGGAGTTTAAAGAGTTCAGCAGCTGATTGTGGTCTGATTCAAAACACCACATTTCTTTAGTTGTATTTAAACTTTTGCAGCCAGATGTTAGAGCCAAATATCTGCTGATGGAGATCAATTTGTGCGTTTTTTTACTTTCTCTCGTCGCTTAAACCGCTGCTTCAGCTTTTCACTGGTCACATGAGAAAAACAGTAAATTAAAATAAAAAGCAAGTTTGCTCACAGAGAATCTGTGGATATGTTGGTTTCCATGTATATTTTTGTTGGGTCTCAGCTTTAATGTTTAAATCAATAAGTTTTGTCTCATTAAAAACACTGCAGAGTTTTAATAATATTATATTTATTATACTATAAATAATATTTATTATAGTGAAGTAAAGTTTTATTCTCTATCATTTCTGTCTCTTTTTTTATTGAACAGTCAAATCACTCTGATAAATCACACAACACAATCTTGACCTCAATATTTCAGCTTATCAGATTAATTCTCAATGTTTGTCTTGTTTTTCTGCTGAATAAATAATGATGACACACTGACCAGATCTCCAAAAAGCTGCAGAATGTCAAAGGTAAAAATGTCTGGAAACTAAACATTTTTAGCAAATAAATTGCATTAAAACATCAAATCCTTGGGGCTAATTTACACTCACAAGCTGCGTATGTGTAGTAAATGTGTCGCTGTGATTCAGGCTGCAGCTTCATCAGCAGAAATGACTGGACTGCACTAAACACCAAACACTTGAATTGTTAATGAAAGCAGAGAAACCGTGGAACTGCAGATTTAAAGGAAGCTGCAGCAAAAACCACATCACCATTCAATGTTAGTTCCAGCAGAGAAAACGCTACAACATCTTCACTAAAATCCAACTGATGACAGGTGTTACATTTTATCCATGAAGAGCTTCATAGAGAAAACTGTGGATTTAAACTCTGTTCTCATCACGAAGCAGCTCGTCTCTGCTTGGACCTGAGCTCATCTAACCAGGTTTAGTTCAGGTTAACGGGGTTCGGCGGATGTTGTACGGGCCGAATTCACCGCTCGGTACCGGTCAGTCCTGCAGTCCGTTTCTACCGAGAATATGTACATGGACAAAAGCGCGACGTGTAAAATGGTAGATTTCTGAAGGGAGTTTGGTTCGGCCGGTACCGGGGACGGACCCGCCTGCGTCCAGGGGGTTAGTCCGCCGTTGTGGCCGGTGTGCCGGATGTGTGAGTGAGTGACCGGCTGCAGAAGCGTTCAGGAGAGCGCAGGTGAGTCCTACCTTCCTCTGGATCTCCCACACATTGATGAAGTTCTTGCCGAGCTGAGCGGACAGCAGGTACTCGCCCCGGAGCACCGCCAGGCTGCGGGCCGCGCTGCTACCGCCCCGATAGGACAGCAGGCTGGAGCCGCTGTGCGGGTCGAACACGGTGCAGTTCCAGAGCTGTGAACCGGAGTCACTGCTTAGAATTACCTCCAGAGGAGCCGCCATGTTGGCTCGACCAAACACCGGCGGCACGCGGGAACCTGCGTCATTAGCGTGGCCGTGCGTCACATCCAGATGCACTGTGGGAAATGTAGGAAGAGGAGGGGCGAGTTGTTGTTCAAATCAAATCGAATCAAATCAGGTTTATTGTCATTTTGCTGTAATACACAGTAGTACAGGCAAGATGAAAGAGCGTTTCTTCAGGATTATTCAACTAGCAAGCTTTGCGGAATGTACATCTGGGATAAGACACTAAACGTTCACTGTCGTTGTTCGTTGAACCTGGGGAACCTCTTCAGGTCCTGGTAGGTCTTCAGGGACGCAAAGACACACACGATGGTGTGATGATGGTGAAGCCATAGATGCTGAAAGAGCTAGCTGTCTGTCTGTCTGCTGGGAATATTGTTGTCTCCTCCAGCTGTATGTCCGTCTGGGATGTTGTCATGGAGCCATGTTTCTGTTAAAGCAAACACACAGCAGGACAGACTGGACAACACTTCACGGACAGACTGAAAAAAAACATTGCATTGTTCCTGCAGAGTTTATATCAGTTTGTTAAAGATGAAGCTGACAGAGCCACAGAATAACCTGCAACATCTGTATTAACACCTGTATAACTAAACATCTGTATTATTAACATTTGAATTATTAACATCTGTATAACTAAACATCAGCAAAATTAACATCTGTATTATGTATAATATTTTCATTTAATAATCTGACTAATTCTTGAAATAGTCCAGCAGCAGAGACTGAGGATCCCAGAACACAATCAATAACTGATAATAATCAGAGTGAAGCTGCTGCCTGATAAAAACAGTGAATCAACACTGAATTATCACAGATAATGCCTTTTATCTACATTTGACTCATTTTACTTTAAATAAATATGTAATCATTATTTTACAGATACACAATAAAAAAATCTAAATTTATCATTTAGTCTTTAGTTTCCAATGACTCCTAGAATTCTGAATGTTTTTTGATGGAATCATTGAAACAATCATGTATTTTTTTTTTTTTATAGATTTATTATAGGTCCACTGGAAATATTGCAGAATCTGCTGTATCATAAATATACAAACAGAAATGTTAATATTTGGTTAAATGTCCATGTCCTCCTCAGTTGGTTCTTCTGGTTTCCGTCCACCAGCTTCTGGTTCATCTTTGACTCCTCTGGACAGAATCGCTGCAGTTCAACTAAACTTGTTGTCTTTCTGACTCAGACTTGTTTCTTCATTAGTCCACAGGTTCTTGATGGTTTCAGTCAGGTTTTTGGGGAGACCAGTCTAGCACCTTCATTCCATCCTTGATTGAATGTTTCTGCTCAGTGTTTGTTCCATGTGACCACAGAACTTTCCTCCAGAAGGCCTTTTCTTTGTCCATGTGATCAGCAGCAGACTTCAGTGGAGCTTTGAGGTTCTGCTTCTAGAGGAAGAACTTCCTTCTTCATCAGCCTCTCAGTTCATGTTGATGTCAAACCCTGTGGACACTGACAGCTGTGTTCCAGCAGCTTCTGATTCATCCAGAGCTGCTTTCTGCTGGTTCCTGGTTGACTCTAGACCATCCTGACCAATCGTCTCTCAGCAGCAGGTGATAGTTTGTGTTTTCGTCCTGATCGTGGCAGTAACACAACTGGACCATGAACTTTATACTGACAAACTGATGGTTCTGGGATTTGAAGCTGCTCTGAAATGGCTCCAGATGACTTTCTGACTAGTTCAAGTCAGTAATTTTCTTTTCCAGATCTTTGCTGAGCTCCTCAGACTTACCCACTGTAGTGTTTGTGTCTGAGTCTGAGTGGATCAGATAGTTCTGTTGAAACTGGATCAGAGCAGTCAGCAGCTGGAGTCGATCAGAACCACACAGGAGAAGTTAAGAGGCCATGAAGCTAAGAAAATATGATAAACACAACTTTCTGTGTCACCTAAACTAATATTTCAAGTTGCTGTTTTGTCATATTTCCAGGAGACCTTTAATAAATCTACGAAAGAACCAAAATACACGATTGCTTTTGTGACAAAGATTCATGTGTTTCAATGATTTAATCACAGAAAAAATAAATAAATAAACTTACAGGAGTCATTGGAAAGGCAAGACTGACATGATATACTGTACATGGTCTTTACAAGTGTATCTAAAGTTTTATTCACAACTGTTATTTTAGAGAGAAAAAAAACTGTATACAAATGTCCACACAGCGTAGAAATGTCCTCACAGTGGGACACAAACTCAGTGTGATGATGTAAACAGTCTGGTCTTGTCAAGTTAATTAGTTCTGACAAGCTGCTCTCGTTAATCCTAATTCTTCTGTCTTACCAACCAATCAGAGTGGCTGATGTCATCCTCCCCCCACCGTGTGTTCCGTCTCTTTGTGGCCACTCAGTCACCGCGGCAACAGCAGCACAAAGACGGAGCTTGTATGAAGCGACGCTGTTTCCCTGTGAGAGGAGACCACAACCTGCTGACCCCCGACACACAAACTCTGTAAGTAACGCACACAGACACACAACCTGCTGAAACTTGTTCAGATTTATCTGCTCAGGTAAAGTCTGTCTGTAACGTCAGTAAATATTTTTGGTTAAAAATCATTCACTTGATCCCACCTCACCTGTGTGGACTCTACCTGTGCTCTATTGGCAGGTCGGGGGTCAGCCTGCAACCCCAGGTGAGCTCAGAGGGCGTGGCCTTGCTGTCGGGACACCTGAGCGACTCGTCCAGCAGCAAGTTGGCCATGGCGTTGACGAGGCGACACCTGGCGGCATCTCCAACTCGTCGTCTGCGATTTGAGGATGAGACAGAGATGGAGGCGGAGTCTCGTTACATGGAGCGGCAGAGGAGGACGGGTGTGCTGGTGTCCAAACCACACCTGAACCTGTACGTTACTGGCACAACAGGGGCGGCACTGAGGGAGGTGGGGCACGTTGCTGATGGACGGCAGAGGTCAGGTCACAGGGACATCTGTGGGACAACGGGTGGAGTTAACCTGGACCTCCACCCACAGCCTCCTGTACTTGATGGCAGTGGGCGGAGCCTGAACAGGCACCGCCTCAGCCTCCGGACTGAGCCAATCAGAGAGACTTACATTGGCTCTGTCACATCTACTGAGAGGGGCGGGGCTGGGCATGTCTCTTACATGCAGGTGCGACGGCGGGCCAATCAGGTGGAACTACATGGACCCCAGGTGATCCTCCCTCAAGCCAAGCCCTCCACTGACCTGCCAGTCAACCCATATGAATCTTTTAGCGTGGCCCCGCCCACTCAGCCCTCTGTTGTAGACCCTCCCACCTTCAGAAGCCCCTCCCCCCTCGCCTCACCTCCTCAGCACAACTACATGAAGGCAGAGCTGAACCAGAACCAGAACCAGAAGGAGCAGGGGAGAGCAGCTGCAGCTAAGCCCCACAGAGAGCTCAGATCTGGGGCACACTTGAAGGAACAGCGCCCGCCTGGGGAGGAGGGAGGTCTGAGGTCCTCCTCAGACACAACAGCAGAGAACACTCACCTGTCTACAGGTACAGTCTGACTAATAAACAGTTTCATACTTGCACGTGTGGCCCCCAGGGCCCCTGGACTTCCTGCTGCAGATCAAACATCTGATTGATCAGACTACTGATGATGTCACCTTGCTACATCACACATACCTGTAAACACACATATTCTGTCTTCTGATTGGTCTACAGCTGAGGGTCAGGCCCCACCCACATCACGCAGCAGAGAAGGACCGCCAATGGGAACGGAGCTCCACAGTAATGACACTTCACTTCCTGCACAGTGAGTTTGAATCCACTCTGTGAAGATGCCGGAGAAACCAGTGTTCCCTCTGTGATAATGAAACACCTTCCGCATCAGTCAGCAGCAGAGAGAACTGCACACATTTAAACTCTACAGCAGGGACCTCATTCAGTTTTTGTGTCTCAGTAGTTGTTTTCTGTGTCTTTTTGTGTCTGTTTTGTGTCTCATTGTGTCTCTTTGTGGTCATGAATTCCTGGCGTGGAGAATGGTTGATTTAGCAGCACTTGGACTGTCATCACACATGTTCAGGAACTCAGAAATAAACTATGCTGTTGTTTGGACATTTTGGTTTTAGAGTTAGATTTTTGTTGCCATATTATGTGTTAATCTGCTTCATCCTGCAAGGCTCTCAGGTCGCCTGTACAGGTGTGTCTGATAGATTCACCTGAGAATCCCTTCTCTGTGTCTCTTTAGCTTTAGCTGCAGAGATGAACCTACTCGTCTTTCTCTGCGACGTCTGTTCTCGTCCGTCAGACTGAGCAGGACTCGAACCGCCAGCCTGGACCGACTCAGCTCGAGGCCCCGCCCCTCCTTATGTGACCCCGCCCCCCCAGGTAGCTCCAGAATGTTGAAGAAGTCTCCTTCTGCTCAGTCACTCAATGAGGTAAGAAGATTATCAGGTACGCCTGATATCACCAATAGTAATTTTCTGCAGAGTCAAAGGCTCTCAGGAAGGCGCCGATAGGACCACATGTTGAGAGCCTTCTATGCAGGACAGCGCCACCTACAGCAATGGATGATCACTAAAGTGCACGACTGACTATTTTAAGGGATGACTTCACTCAAAATATACTAATAATTTTAAAAGGTTTATTCAAGATGTATTCCACAGAAAGTACTACTTTCTGTCCAAGTACCTCTAATTTTAAAGCTTTGTTCCACCCAAAATATCACTTATTACAATAAATATACTTTGTTTGCTAACTCTTGCATTTGGACAGTTTGTGTAGTTTTAAATTAGTCTTGAGACTCCCATCGCTGAATCTCTGATCTCGGAGAAAGACATTAACATTCATTAGTAGATATGGCACTGTTGCAGAGAACAGTCAGAATTATTAACGTCATGAACGCTGTAAAACTGTGAGTATTAAACATTCACTCTGAAAGTTGTTGCTGCTTAACGTAGTGACAGACAGGGATCATTTCAACACGCTTCTATCATCTGATCAAGTATTAATTAATATGCCACCTACAGTTAATTATCATCATCTGGAGCCAAACTCTCACTTTGACTCAATAAAACAAATTAGCAAACAGCTCAGAGTTGGTTTTACAGCAGCTTTCATGTGATAAAACTGTCTGTTTGCAGGTTTAATGATGAATTCAAACAGTTGGTTTCTAGTTTAGCAGGTTGACAACAGCTCTTCTGCACAAATGAACAAATCAGAACAACGTCGAACAATAAAACGCTTTATGAGCAGCATCACGTTGTGACTGTCGTCCATCATGGACAGAAATGTGCTGCTTCCTTTGGAACACCAGGGTTCTGAAAGTGCAGCATCCAGGTCTGAGGTTTGTTCTTCTTCTATCCAGCAGGGGTCGTCTGTCCTGCAGAAGAAGAAGATGGACCGTTCTTCCGACTACAAACCAGCTGCTGAACAGTAAAACACCTGCTGATAAATTACAGCCAATCACGTAGAGGCCAAACTGTAGCAACCAATCACAGCCTTCTATCTATCTGGCAGGTTCCTGCATCGGAGTCTCAGTGTGGAGGATGTTGGTGGTCCCTGTTCAGTCCGTTCTGTCGGTCGAGTTCTTCAGGTGTGTTCTGATGGAACGGTTCTGTTGGAGCTCCACCGACCGACGGGAAGAGCATTCGGATTCGTCATTAGCCGAAGGAGAGGACGGACCGACTCAGGTAAGCACTGCAAATACTGCTGTAAATACTACAAATACTACTCTAAATACCTCTAATACTACTTATGCTATTGCTCAACATTAAAGGAAGCGGATGGTCCCACACTGGTATTGATACCACTGATAGTATTGTAAACTACTACTGGTATACTATTAGTACTACTATTGCTACTGTAAACTACTACTGGTATACTATTCGTACTACTGATAACCTGCTGCTAGGAGAAACATAAATATGTTGGAACAGAGAAGCTGTACTTTAAAACTTCTCCAGGTTCCCCCTCTGTGGAGAACCTCTAAATGAATGAGCACTGAGATCCTTCAACAGAACAACTCCAGCCACTGGTTCAGGTATGTGGACAGCACCTGGGTGAGAACCAGAACTACAAAGTTGGTACCTTCACAGAACAGATGAACTGTGTGGACAGAAACATTAGGGTCTCAGGGAGGATGTCAGGAGAACAAACACTGATGTCTACAGAAAACCTTCACACAGACCAACATCTGCTGTTTGGTTCCCACCACCCACTGGAACATTAGTTAGGTTTACCAGAAGCTTACAGAACCAGGCTGAGAACGTCCTGACCGATGCAGAGGGAAAGAGAAGGAAGCGCTGAAAACCTATAAACAGAGTGCTGTGTACTGCATTGGTACTACATTAACTGCAGAGTATTGTGTACTGCAGGTGTGTACGTGGAGGACATGGTGGACAGTGGTGTGGAGAAACTGCTCGCCGGCCTGCTGGCGGTTGGAGACGAGATCCTGGAGGTGAACGGGGAGAAGGTGAGTTCTCTCACCCTGGACGAGGTGACCCAGCTGCTGATCCAGAACACATCTACCACCATCCGGGTCCTCCGACACCGAGGAACGTCTCCACGGTGACCGCCACACTGCCTGACTCTAAATGAACATGGTGCGTCTGCGGCTCCACCAATCAGAGCTCAGAGTCTAGACACACCTCTGACCGAATGATGTCATCTCAAGAAGCGACGGTCTCATTTCAACCTGCAGTATTTTCTAAACTGCAGTATTTAATGAACTGCAGTATTTACTAAGCTGCAGTATTTAATGAACTTCAGTATTTAAAAACTGCTGCTCATCATGTTTGTTTGTGTTTTCTGTTTCTTTTCTGAGGTTTAAATTTCTGCACAGCTCATCAGTTTTGTCTTCATTCACAACCACCGATATTTACTCAATACTGAATATTGAATATTACATATTGAAAAAGAAATACTGTCACCTGAGTACTGAATGCTGGATACTGCATTCTGCAGCATTAACTATTCAACTGTGTTATTTTGCTACAGCAGCTCAGCTGGTTTCTGGTTTTAGAAAGTGGAACTAAACAGCAGCTACCGTGCAGCATCTTTTTGACTTTTAATCCTTGAAGTCCCAGGAAAGCAAGAAATATAGATGGTTTTCCAAAACAAAAACATTTACCTGTGAACACCTGTCTGACTGAAGGAACCAAATTCACAGTGTTTTAGAACTTCAAACAGAAAATGAGTTTCAGATGGACCTGATGTTTCTGTAACGTTCTCCTCACTTCAATCAAACTGGCTGCCTTTTCATCAAACCTGCTGACTGTATTTTTGTTTTTATTTTAATGCTGGTTTGGTCATATTGTGGACTTTTTAACAGCTTTATAATTTCAATAAAAAAACTGTCAATAGGACCTCATATCTCCTGTGTGATTTCACTGTCAGTACATCAGTTTCATATTAAAAGTAAAAACTAATTAAATCAATAATAATTATACAGTTTACAGCTAAATTCGGCTGAGCACTCATCTGCAGGTAAAAGTCTGTACTGCAGTTTAATGTGTGAAGCTCTACAAGTTGCTGTTTCTGTAGCAAAGAAGAAGGAGATGTGACCCTTAAAATAGAAAGTTGTCTGTGAAGATTCTAAGTCATCCAGGTCATGGTTATTCTGGTAGATTAATCGTAGCAACTGGACTTGCTTGAGTTCGCTGAAGACGATTCACCTCTCATCCAAGAGGCTTCATCAGTTCTGACTGACTAGTTGGGAGATCCAGATACTTATCTCCTAAGGAGCCATTAACACCTGAGTTTCGGTTTCAATTGGGGGTTGTTACTCCTCCCCCTCGTTATGTCACAAAGGGGTTCGTCAGGGTCTTTTGTGGCTGGGTGTCTAAAATAGAAACTTAAAATAGAAAGTAAAATATGAAGGGAGAAACTGATCATATTCGCTACAGAAACAGCAACAGAAGGGCGGCTGTGCTTCAGGTGTAGGGCGGTTGTCCTCTGATCAAAGGTTGGCAGTTAGATCCCCTCCACAGTCTAAGTGCCTTGGGCAAGACACCGAACCTGAAGTTGCTCCTGATGGCAGGCAGCACCTTGCATAGCAGCTCTGCCACCGCTGGTGTATGAATGTGTGTGATCGGGTGAATGAGAAACACTGTAATGCGCTCTGAGTAGCACTAGGGTAGGAAGTAGATATATAAGTGCAGACCATTTACCATTTATCTGCTCATTGACAGAACATCAGAACAAACAGTTTCTTTTCTTTTCTGGAGTTTATTGAAATAAAATTCACCTGCAGACACAAAAACTAAATAATGACGACTCAGACAATTCCCATCATTCATCAATAACAAACCAATCAATAACATGGTTTCACTGCAAACTAAAGGTCTTCATTCATTCAGCTCAAATTCTGCTGCTGATCACTTCTGCTGCCATTATTATTATTGTTATCATTATTATTATTATTATGGATGTCCTGATCAAGTTCTTCCCATGATCTGATCCCAGTCATTTATTATTTAGTATCTGCAGATACAGAGTCCCAATCTGACACCATGGTCCTGAATATAAACACTTCAAGTACATTTATTAAGTTATTAAAATCAATCTAGACAACCGAATATCTCTGCAGTTTATTAGGAAAAGCCTGCATCTCTGCCTCCAGTCCATTCCCTTATGTTCTGTAGGTGGGACCTTGTAGTAAAGGTCCGGTAGAACCCTGTCTAGATGTAGAGTTAAAGGGTAAATGTAGTGTTAGAGGGTAAATGTAGAGTCAGAGGGTAGATATAGAGTTAGAGGGTAAATGGAGTGTTAGAGGGTGGATGTAGTGTCAGAGGGTAGATGTAGAGTTAGAGTGTAAACGTGGAGTTAGAGGGCAAACGTAGAGTTAGAGGGCAAACGTAGAGCTAGAGTGTAACCGTAGAGTTAGAGGGTAGATGTAGTGTTAAGAGGGTAAATGTAGAGCTGGAGTGTAAACGTAGAGTTAGAGGGACAATGTAGAGTTAAGAGGGTAAACGTAGAGCTAGAGTGTAAACGTAGAGTTAGAAGGTAGATGTAGTGTTAGAGGGTAAATGTAGAGTTAGAGGGTAGATGTAGTGTTAAGAGGGTAAATGTAGAGCTGGAGTGTAAACGTAGAGTTAGAAGGTAGATGTAGTGTTAGAGGGTAAATGTAGAGTTAGAGGGTAGGATGTTCTGAGGCTCCAACAAACAGAGAAAACCTGTATTCTCTCCATGATGTCAGTAAATGTTCCATAAACCAGCTGTACTACCTGGTTGTTCCATCAGGTGGAGCCTCTCACTGTTTAATACTGCAGAGAGCAGAGGAGGCGTAACTCAGGCTTCAGGCAGTTCATGTTGAACCAAAGATCAGACTGAGGTTTGATACCAATCAGTTACAAAATGTCTGATCAATCCAGAATGGATCAGAACATCCCCCATGATTATCATTATTATTACTATTACTACTACTACTAGTAATAATAATAATAACATCGCAATTAGTGTGTGAAGAGTCCAGTTGTGAGGAAACATGATTAAAGTTTAATTTCTAGAAGAAAACTGTTTCATGTTGAAGACAACTGGATGGATTTCAAGTTAAAAGTCAGAACGAAATAAGACGTTGCAGGTTTTAATGTTTGTTTTATCTTTTTGTTCACATTTTTCAATGTGATCTGATTTTGTTTGAACATTTTCAGTCCTGACGTCTGATTGCCTGCAGACGTCGTGTGATACATTGCTGCTGTGCGTACCAAGAATCTGATGTTGTGGGACTCTGCAATTGGCTTCTGCGACTACATCTGTTGTTTTAAATAAAACTCACTAGTAAGTGCACTTCACAATAAAAGCCTGTAAGAGGTGGAATAAGGCTTTTATTGTGAAGCAGCAGCAGGAAATGTGTGGTAGGATTTCACATTAACATGTCTGATCAATAAGTCTGATTGATCCACTGGAAATATGATCAGAAAAGAAAAACACAAACAACTCAACAAAAGTCTTCAGTCAATAAAAACAAACCATAAACAAACTAACAACAGACAAGAAGTTTTAGTGTTTCTACAAACCAGTTCAACCAGTTTAACCTAAACTGAACCAGTTCAAACTGTTTAACCTGAATCAAACATAACTTAAACTGATGAAGACGTAGTGATTAAAGTGGTACTTAAGTTAAAAATTAAACCTGAGTTAAACCAAAGTTAAACTGAATTTTAACTGGAGTTGAACTGAAGTTAAACTCAAGTTATACTGAAGTTGAACTGGAGTTAAACTGGCTATTTTCAGACCTTAAAATAAAAAAATCCAAACAAACAAAAACATTAAAACACATCAAACGTGTTTCCACCGGTTTGACCTTTGACCTCTGAAACCAGTTTGACAGTCGAACACTCAACGAACCAAAAGTGCCTTTTCAGTCCCACCAACCAGGAGGACGACCATGTGAGTCCAGGTGAGTCCAGTCCAGTAAAGTCCAGTCTAGTCCAATACAGTTCAGTCCAGTAAAGTCCAGTCCAGTCCAATACAGTCCAGTAATGTCCAGTCCGGTCCAACACAGTCAAGTCCACTTCAGTCCAGTCCAGTCCAGTCCAGTAGAGTCCAGCAGATACAGGATTAGGATGAATTGTCAGTGACAGCAGGAGGCATCAATCAGAGGATGAAGAAGAGGAGGATGACGACGAAGAGGATGGCGAGCAACACGCCGATAGCACACCACTGCCGGCGATCTGCAGAGACAAAAAGACTGGTCATAACTATTAACTAGTGTTAACTACCCATAACTAACTATAAGATAAACCACTGCTGACGATCTGCAGAGACAAAAAGATTGGTCATAACTATTGACTAGTGTTAACGAGCAGCGTTGTGTGTTGCTGGGCAGATTACCGCTGGTCATGTGTGACACTTTGGCCAGTTTCTTCATCACATTGTCCAGTCGGGACTGAGTGTTGTCCATCTCATGGCTGAAGTCATCCAGCATCCTACAGAGACAGACAGGTAACGCAGGTGACGCAGGTAACAGAGGAGACACAGGTAATACAGGTTATGCAGGTAACACAGGTAATACAGGAAACACAGGGGCCACACAGGTAACGCAGGTAATGCAGGTAAAACAGGTAACGCAGGTAATGCAGGTAACGCAAGTAATACAGGTAACGCATGCAATGCAGGTACATGTGGACACAACTGTTGGTACCTTCCGTTAAAGAAAGAAAAACCCACAATGGTCACTCAAATTACTTGAAAGTGACAAAAGTAGTAAATAAAATTTTACTGAAAATGAACTACTGAAAGTCAGACATTGCTTTTGAACTGTGGTTCAACAGAATTGTTTAAAAAAAACAAAAAAAAACCAAATTAAATTATTAATAATAATTGATCAGATTTGTATAGCGCTTCTGCGATAGCCTGGCAACCTGTCCAGGATGTCCCCTGCCTTCGCCCTAAGTCAGCTGGGATAGACCGCAGCCCCCCCGCGACCCTAGTGAGGATTAAGTGTATAGATAATGGATGGATGTATAGCGCTTTTCTTGACACTAAAAGATGTTTTACACTGTCAATTATTCATTCACACACATTCATTCCGGCAGTGGCAGCTAAGGTTGTAGTCACTGCTGACAGAGGCCTGGCCGCCATTCTGTGCTTACGGCCCCTCCAACCACCACCTCAACAATCCATTCATACGCATTCACACCAGACAAAGTGAGTGAAGTGTCTTGCTGAAGGTCACAACGACCATGACACAGGTTACAGGGCGGAATTGAACCGCCGACCAATCATTGACCGACCTGCTCTACCACCTGAGCCACAGCCACCCCGAATTGGCCTGGACAGACATGATGGTACCCCTAGAAAAGATTGACAATGATGTGACCATAGAGACATGTTAAACTAAGGTGTGTACTGTAATTAGCATCACAGGTGTCTTCATATTTGTAACAAGTCAGTCGGCCTATTTAAAGGTGAAGAGAAGTCACTGTGCTGTTTGGTATCATGGTGTGAACCACACTGAACATGGACCACAGGAAGCCAAGGACGGAGTTGTCTCAGGAGATTAGACAGAAAATTATAGACCAGCATGTTAAAGGTGAAGGCTATCAGACTGTCTTCAAGCAGCTGGTTCAGTGACCATTGTGGGTTTTTTTTTCTTTAACGGAAGGGTACCAACAATTTTGCCCACTTGTGCAACACAGGTAACACAGGGGCCCCTGGGGCCTTCAGTGTCGGGTCTTACACTGCCTGCTCGTCCAGCTCCATGCCGATCCGCTCCGACATGTTCTTCAGAACTCCAATGGTTCCAGAAACCAGCTCCAGCTGCTCGTCCTGCTGCTCTGCAATAAGCTGACACAAACACAACAGCAGGTGAGTCTGAGTCCATTAGGTAAAAACAGTCGTGTGCTCAGGTGTTACTGTACCTGCTGCTGCACCTGCTGCTCCTCGATGAACTGAGAGTTGGCGTTCTCCAGCTGCCGGTCCAGGCGGCTGTACTTATCAGAACCGGGCTGCCAGATGGGCCCTTGAGCACCGTGTTCGCCGAGCAGAGCCTGAAACACAACAACACATCAGCAACAACTCTATATGCACCAGGGTCCACAAGGGTCTTCCAGGGACCACCAGAGTCCTCCAGGGACCATCAGAGTCCTCCGGTGACTACCGGGGCCCACCAAGGTCTACCAGGTCCTCCAGGGACCAGTAGGTCCTCCGAGGGCCACCAGGGTCCTCCAGGGACCACCAGAGTCCTCCTGAGGCCTCCAGGGTTCACCTGGGACCACCAGGGAGCACCAGGGTCCTCCAGGGTCCACGAGGGACCACCAGAGTCCTCTAGGGACCACTAGGGGTCCACCAGGTCCTTCAGGCACCAAATTCCTTCAGAGACCACTAGAGTCTTCCAGTGATCATTAGGGTCCTCCAAGGACCACTAGGTCCATGAGGGATCCTGGTGGTCCCTCATGGACCTTCAAGGACTACCAGGGACCTCCAGGGGTCTCCACACCTTGGCCTCTTAAAGACATGTTTGCAGGTGTGGCCCTCTGAGGAGGGTCTGTGGGTGAAGAGGTGTTTGAAGGGAGAGATGGTTTAAGGGTTTTTTAAAGGTTTGGTGCTGATTGAATTTTCACTGATTACAGACAAAACACACCTGTAAACAGGTGAGTGTAAACAGGTGAGTGTGAATAGTTGAGTGTGAACAGGTGAGTGTGAACAGGTGAGTGTAAACAGGTGAGTGTAAACAGGTGAGTGTGAACAGGTGAGTGTAAACAGGTGAGTGTGAACAGGTGAGTGTGAACAGGTACCTGTCTGTTCTTTCTGTCTGCTGAGGCAGCACCTGGACTTGACATTTGCTCTTTCATTTCCTTCAAAAGGAAAAAGGTCAGTCAGTGAATTGATCAGTTCTTCAGATACCGATCAGCTGCTGATCGCGATTCATGTAAGATTGCAGGGTTCTTTCCTCTGTGACAGTAAACTGAACATCTTTGGACTAAACAAGACATTTGAGAAAACTCTGATTCACATTTGTACCATTTTCTGACATTTTAGACCAAACAGTTGATCAGTTCAGAAATAGTTGATAAATTGATCAACAGTGTCAATAATAATCAGCTGCAGCTCTACTCTATGTGAAAGAGTTCACTTATCATCCAACATCAGACGTGTGAAACCTCCTGAAACAGGTCAGTTCACGTCAGTTACTTGAGAGGGAAACTGACTTTAAACAGTTTAATTAATTAATGCACACGTTGTTTTTAATGTTAACAGTGAAATAAAAAATAAGATGGAGGACCTTGATGTTAACAGCAATACACACAAGCTGCCTGTTTTATTATTCCATCAAATCTGTTTTACTGCTGATTATTAAACATGTTCACTTCGCTGCATTTCAACACAGAGTCCACAAAGTCAGCCACAGTGACAGTGTATTCCGAGAACACTCACTTGGTTTCTGTTGGTCAAACACAACAGGTGTCTCCACAGGCAGGTGAGTGTGTACCTGCTGTTAGAAATAAAGTTACCTTGACTGTCAGCCTGGTGCTGGTGATAAAAGCTTTTCTCTTCGACAGTTCAGCTGCATCCAGATTAAACTTCTTTGGGTTCGACTCCACGATGCGTTCGCTGACAGTTAAGGAACACGGTCATCTTTCACTTCAAATGTCTGAGCCACAAAATTTAAAACACACATCACACGACCATGACTCGTTGACATGTAATCGACCTGTGGCCTCTGCTGCGGGTCACGTGACCTCTGTTTAAGGATATTGATGGTCTCATCCAGGTCCTCCAGGTCCCACTCGATGGAGCGCAGGCTGTTTCTCAGCTCATTGGTCGTCCAGTCGATCTCCTCCTTGGAGGCTCCGCCCCCTTCCTGCAGGAGTTCCCTCCATCTGTGATGGAGGCTCTGAGCTGCGTTCACGGCCTTCTGCACCTCCCTGTTAACAGACACCAGGTATAAATACAGACATAGAAATATATATTCACTTGTAAAGAAATGTAAAGTTGTGTTTGTTTGTAAATAAATAGAAATATAACATTTTATTTTTGTTTTCTTGTAAATAGACAGAAATGTAAAGTTTTGTTCAATTCACTTGTAGATAAATGGAAAAGTAAGATTTTATTTTGTGTACTTGTAAATAAAGGATCACCATGACCTGGGCACTAAGAATCTACACAGATATTTTGTATATTAACTGAAATGTAAAGTTTACTCGGTTTACTTGTGAAAAAATTGCAATGTCACGTTCTTTTTGTTTATTTCTAAATAAATAGAACAATATAGGTTTCTGGTTGTTTGCAAATAAGCGTTATATTCTGTTTATTTGTAAAATAAATAAATGAAATAATAGAAACGTACTGCCTGTTTGTGTTACTTCTAACATTTGGGAACGTAACGTTTGACTTTACTGTCTAATTTCTGGACTCAGACGTCACGTGATCACAGTGAAACTTTTATCCTGTTAGCATTGAGGAGCTCCGTGCTAAAATTCTAACAGGTTAATTTCCTCAGTCGATTACAGACGGAAACGGTAGCATGCTGGGTAGCGAACCACCCTGTTAGCTGGCTGAACTCCTGAATGTTTGGTCAAATTGATTATTGATCAATTACCAGCTGTCCGCAGGCTAACGGTAGCATTTAGCTCCCTGTTGGCATTGGCTATGATGTAGCTGTGGGTGTTAGCTTGCAGCTAGCCTGCTGTTAACATTAGCCTGCAGTTAGCTCGATGCGGCGGTTCTGACCCTTTGACGACGAAGAACGGGTCTTCCATGGACATGGTGCCGGTTCTGATTCAGTCCATTCCTCAGAATCGGGGTTCCGGATCAGCTGCGTTCGGTTCGGATTAAAGTCCGTTTATCTTCATTGGAGCTGCCGCTGCTAACTCCGCTGTTAGCTCCGCTTTGTTTACATGCAGCAGCGGAGACTCCCTGTGACGTCAGACACACGTGGGCGCTTCTTCTTCTTGACAAGTTTCTTGATATTACACACATATTGCACTTTCCATGTATTTTCTTAATCGATTATTTTTAAGTGTATTTTGAATTGTTTGTATTTTAGATCAATTTTTGATGAACTGTCAGCTGTTTCTTGATGATCTGCAGTCAAAGATTTAATGCTGGATGTTTTATTATTTTGTTGAATGGAATTTAATGTCTTTGCTCATTTGTAAAGGTGAGGTTTACAGTCACACAGCATTTATTGTGGAGCTGACTGTGGGTTGGAAACATGGAGCAGGAATACAGGTATAATGAAGAAAAATACCAATAATTCCAAAAATATTCATAAAACATCAGAAAACATTTTAATAAATGTCTTAAAACGTTATTAAGATATCTAGATATTTAGGTCTCACTCAGTGTATTTATTTATCAGATAGTTGAATAAGCATACAGAGGTCTGGATCAAACTTCTCACCCTAGCACCAACAAAGTTAATGTCAGGGCACGGAGTCTGACTCACTGTCTCGCCCTGATCCAGTGTACTTATACTATTACATGAGAATGTGCACAGAATGTGTTGCAGCCAGCTGATTGGCCCCTCCGTGTCCTTGAGCCTTCTTTCACCATCCCGTAGGTGCAGAGACTTGCCACTCTGCACCCTCAGTTTCTCCCTCCTGCAGATACCTGCTTGTGACAGAGAAATACACAAACACCAAATCCTGTCTCCACTTACGCTTTCTCATGCAGCAATTGTTTATCAATTGTGTTGATTATGCCTTAAGATAATAATGTGAGATTAAGATAATAAAAGTGAAGAGAGTAACACCAAATTATCAAAATATGAAATCATGTGAGATTAATTTAATAAGAGGTGCAGAGAATAATACTTGATCATCTAAATATGAATTAAAGATATATGTAAAAAAAAAAAAAATGATCCTGACACAGCATGACTAAGAGGAACACCAGGCGGCTTGACAGGCTGGTAATGAAGGCTGGTTCTGTGCTCAGCAGGAGTTTGAACTCACTGAGGACTGTGGCTGAGAAACGCATACACAGCACAGTGCAGTCCACCTGAATGCCAGCCATCCTCTTCACAGCATCCTGGCTGGACAGAGGAGCAGCTGCAGTGGTGGATCATCTCACTGCGCTGCAGGACTCAATGGTTCAATAGAGCCTTCCACAGCGATCAGGCACTGGAACACCTCAGTCAAGGGTAGCAGCTCATGACCTGATCTGTTGGCTGCTACATTTCAATGACTCAGTTCAATATGGTATAAGAACGGTATAAGACCGAAGGTGCGAGAGAGTCCTCAGATCTGATGCTGGCATTGCATGCATGAACTGCTGCTCTGTTAGTGTCACTTCTCCTAATAACAGTAAACCTTATTTCAACCTAAGTCATCTGAGTCTCTGATGTGTCTCTATGTATCGGGTTCCACATCTTCCATCAGCCTCTTCAAGAATTCCACCACACCATGCAATAAACCAATTACCCCGCGCCCACCAGGACCCATACACCTGTATACTCATTTCTTTTATTAGCTCAGTTTTCTCACATTGCACTGTGTACTTTATCATGCTCTATTTTTTGTATTCTGTACTCTCAAAACATTCTGTTTTTTTTCTAAATACCACCAATTTGCACCTCACTGTAAATACTAACGACTTTTGCACAAATTCTGCAAATACCAGTATTTTTCAGGCACCTTATTGTGGTTTCTTCGACCTGCACGATTAGCACCTCAGTTGCATGCTCTTTTGTACATTGTTCGTCTATCTATCTATTATCTATCTAAGTCTCTGTCTCTGTTTGCCTGCCAGCCTGCCTGCCTGTCTATCTATCGATGTCATTTTCGCTGCTGCAGTTCCCCTATTGGCCGCAAGGTGGCAGCATGACCTTCATCCTCCGATCCAGCTTCCTGGGAGAGAGAGGAAGAAAAGGCTGCGCGGTGATTGGCTGCTGAGAGGGGCGTGCAGCGGCTGCAACGAGGAAAGATGGCGGCGGTGACCAGAGGCTCCTTCAGTGTTTTCAGGAGGCTGGTAGGATACAAACTTTATTGGCGTGTCACCGTGTAACTGCGGCTCCTCTCCGTTTGTCTTCTGCTACAAACAGCTGCTAATGCTAACACGGCAAACCTGCTCCGTTAGCCTGGTAGCTTAACCGGTTAGCTGCGTGCTAACTGTGATGCTAACTGACAGAAAGAAGTACAGACAGACTGATGGACTCAGAGCTAACAGCTAACCCGGCTGCTGGGTCACAAAGGCTAACAGCGAATAAAAGCGAAAAGACAGGTGTTTCATGACAGGTAGACGTTCTCTGAGGTGATCGGGTTAATGTCAGGTACTAGCTAAGGTAGTTAAAGTGTTCTCTGAGGTGATCAGGTTAATGTCAAGTACTAGTTGAGGTGTTCTCTGAGGTGATCAGGTTAATGTCAGGTACTAGNGGTGTTCTCTGAGGTGATCAGGTTAATGTCAGGTACTAGCTAAGGTAGTTAGGGTGTTCTCTGAGGTGATCAGGTTAATGTCAGGTACTAGTTAAGATATTCTCTGAGGTGATTAGGTTAATGTCAGGTAGAAGTTAAGGTTCTCTGAGCTGGTCAGGTTAATTCCAAGTACTAGTTAACATTCTCTAAGGCGATCAGGTTAATGTCAGGTGCTAGTTAAGGTAATTAAGGTGTTCTCTGAGGTGATCAGGTTAATGCCAGGTACAAGTTAATGTGATTAAGGTGTTCTCTGAGGTGATCAGGTTAATGCCAGGTACTAGTTAAGGTTCTCTGAGGTGATCAGGTTAATGCCAGGTACTAGTTAAGGTGGTTAAAGTGTTCTCTGAGATGAACAGGTTAATGTCAGGTACTGGTTAAGGTGTTTTCCGAGATGATCAGTTTAATGCCAGGTACTAGTTAAGGTGACTAAGGTGTTCTCTGAGGTGATCAGGTTAATGCCAGGCACAAGTTAATGTGATTAAGGTGTTCTCTGAGGTGATCAGGTTAATGCCAGGTACTAGTTAAGGTGGTTGAGGTGTTCTCTGAGGTGATCAGGTTAATGCCAGGTACAAGTTAAGGTGTTCTCTGAGTCAGCCCACACATTGAAACAGTTTGCTTCTGTCAGTCTGTTGAGGTTTGTCATTCAGAAGTTTGTGCTGCAGAATTATATGATCAAACTGACAACAGAGAACCAGTTTTTATCTAACTTTGTCCTTTTTGTCGTGAAATATTTCCATACGATCGAGCAGCACGACTATGGTCAAAATTGTAATTATTTTTGGTCAATATTGAGATTATTCATCAATCTGTTAATTGATTTTAGAGACAAAATATTTTATTGCACTTTGACTAATATAGATCTGCTTTTAAAACTGCAAAGTCCGACTTAAATAATAATCTGCAGAGTTCAGAGCTTCTCCTGGAGGATTGATTGAAATTATATTGTACCCAAACTTTTCACTTATTTTAAAAATGTTTCCACAGAGCTGTTCTCACCTTCTAATTGTGTGGTACAGTTCTTTTTTCACCGATTTCAAATTATTGTGTTGTATTTTACTTAAGTTTAAACTGCTAGTATTTTAATTAAAACTGTCTGCACTAATATGGGCGGCTGTGGCTCAGATGGTAGAGCAGGTTGTCCTCCAGTCGCGAGGTTGGTGGTTTGATCCTCTGCCTCTCCACAGCTGAAGTGTCCTTGAGCAAGACACTGAACCTGAAGTTGCTCTTGATGGCAGGCAGCACCTTGCTTGGCAGCTCTGTGGCCGTTGGTGTGTGAATGGGTGAATGAGAAACACATTGTACAGCGCTTTGGATAAAAGCACTATATAAGTGCAGATCATTTACCATATGTAGCTTAATTTTAATATTTTTTTTTCTATTTTATTGTGTACTTTATCTAGTCTGTCTCCATTTTCTGATAAGGTGGTATATAAATAGACTGGCTTGCTGTGGATATCTGAGCTGACACTGAGTGTCACTGATGTTCTTCCTGTTGGCCTTCATGTGCTCATTGAACTGCAGTTTTTGTTGTTGTTTTTTTAGCTGGTAGATAAATCAGTTAGAGTTACATTCCTCTCTCCAAATAAAATCATGATCAAGATTAATATTCTATTAACTGTGCGGCCCAACAACAGAAGCTACAAATTTCAGTCTGTCTTTGTGAAGGAGCACCTGTACCTGTCTGTTAGAGCACAGGTGATGTTGTCTGCTCTGTACAGGTGATGTTTGACTGTACAGGTAAGCTGACTGTTCTCTCTACCTGCCAGGTGAGTCAGCAGTACCGGCGCCGGTGTTTCCGGCTGCAGACCTTCAGATCTGTCAGAACCCTGCAGCCACTCAGCTCCACAAGTGACAGAAAGCTGCAGATGTTCAGCAGCAGAACGCTGCACACCACAATCAGTAAGTCCACTAACACCAACTGTGATCTGTTCTGTTTCACGGGTGGGACGCTTGAATGTGCTTCCTTACTTTTACAGTTCAGTGTTCTTCAACCTGTTGTTCTGGGGTTTCTGAGCCTCATTCAGTTCACCAAACACACTGGGAACCACGACAAGCTGCTGGTTTCTTTCGTCAGGAGGGGATGCAGTTACTATGGCAACCTGCCAATTACAGGAAGTTATGTCCTGGTGTTTCTGGTTCAGTTTGTGTGTGACTCAGAACATTCAGAGAATCCAGATCAACAGGTTTTTACAAAGAGTTCAGTAAGCACATTAAACGCAGCAGCTTCAACTCTTCTTTCCCACTGAGACACTCCTGATGTCGTCAACCTGATGGAGACATTGTGCTTTGTGTTGCAGTGAGTCGAGGACCAATCGTCCAGTTCAAACTGTCCGACATTGGAGAGGGGATCATGGAGGTGACGGTGAAGGAGTGGTATGTTACCAAAAACACCTGTAAACCACAGAAACAACTATACTTTCACTACACAACACCTTCAAGCCCAACCCCAGACCCTTTAAACTCCCCCGATACCACAGAAACTACCCTGATACCGCAGAAACTACCCTGGTACCGCATAAACTACCCTGATACCACAGAAACTTCCTCTTATATCGCAGAAACTCCCCTGACACTGCAGAAACTCCCCTGGTACCACAGAAACTACCCTGATATTGCAGAAACTACCCTGACACTGCAGAAACTACCCTAACACTGCGGAAACTACCCTGATACGGCAGAAACTCCCCTGATATCACAGAAACTCCCCTGGTACTTCAGAACCTCCGATGGTACTGTAGAAACTACCCTGGCACCGCAGAAACTACCCTGATACTTCAGATACTCCCCTGATACCACAGAAACTACCCTGGTACCGCAGAAACTCCACTGATACCACAGAAACAATCCTGGTACCACAGAAACTACCCTGAGTCCTGCTCTGCAGTGTTTCTGTCCGATGACCTCCTTGTTTTTTCACAGGTATGTGAAGGAGGGAGACAAGGTGTCGCAGTTCGACAGCATCTGTGAGGTTCAGAGCGACAAGGCTTCGGTCACTATCACCAGCCGATATGATGGAGTCATCAAGAAACTCTACTACGATGTGGACGCCACCGCGCTGGTCGGCAAACCGTTAGTGGACATTGAGACGGAGTCGAGTTCAGGTGAGACATCAGAACCCTTCCACTTTGTGTCCTAGGGTTCTGCTTAGACTAACATGTGACCGCTGTTCAGAGTTGATCCAGGAGGAGGACGTGGTGGAGACGCCTGCCATGGCTCGAGAGGAACACACCCACCAAGAGATCAAAGGTCACAAGACCCAGGCCACGCCCGCCGTGAGACGTCTTGCCATGGAGAACAATGTGAGTCTGTCCCCAGTCTGTCTCTAGCTGTCCCAGTATTCCCAGTATAACCTCTTGCTGGTCTGTCCCCTCAGATAAAGCTCAGTGAGGTGGTAGGGACGGGTAAGGATGGTCGGATCCTGAAGGAGGACATCCTGAACTTCCTGGCGAAGCAAACAGGAGCCATCTTGCCTCCAACTCTATTCCAGGAGATCCAGCCTCCGCCCCCGGCTGCCCCTGCTGCTGCTGCTGCTGCCGCCAGGCCGGCGGCCACTCCGGCAACTTTGAAGCCTCCACCCATTGCCAAACGTGTGTTTACCGGCAAGGATGTGACCGAGCCGCTCAAAGGTCAGAGTCCAGAGGATGGACGGGAGGCAGGGATGTTACTTGCTGTCCTTAGGTCTCATTGCGTTAGACCCTCCACTTGCCTTCTGATGTCCCTCACCATGTCTCTGACACATTTCACCACATGTGTCACTGTGTATGTCCAGGTTTCCACAAAGCGATGGTGAAGACGATGTCAGCGGCGCTTAAGATTCCTCACTTCGGTTACTGTGATGAGGTGGACCTGAGCCGGCTGGTGTCCCTGCGGTCAGAGCTAAAGTCATTGTCTGAAAGTCGGGGGGTCAGACTGAGCTACATGCCCTTCTTCATCAAGGTGACACACCAACACAGCACTGCTAACTGGTTCAGAGGTTGTTGTTGATCCTAATGGTGTGCTCTCATTGGCTTAGGCCGCCTCCCTCGGTCTTCTCCACTTCCCCATCCTCAACGCCTCGGTGGACGAAGGCTGCCAGAACATTACGTATAAGGTAAGACATGGGCAGAGGGGGGAGCCCTCAGGTGCACCTAAAGGTGCAGGGCCCCTGGGAAGGTGTTGGTGATAACGGGGGTTGACTGTGCGTCTTCTGTCTTCCAGGCCTCTCATAACATCGGCCTGGCGATGGACACCAGTCAGGGCCTGCTGGTTCCCAACGTGAAGAACGTGCAGCTGCTCAGCGTGTTCGAGATCGCACAGGAGTTAAACCGTCTGCAGACACTGGGAACTGCAGGACAGCTGGGCGCCGCTGACCTGAGCGGGGGAACGTTCACGCTGTCCAACATCGGATCAGTGAGTGCAGCTACTAGACACAACGGTAGCACAACAACAAAGACGACAGTAACACAACAACAAACATAATGGTAACACAACGGTAACCCAACAGTAACACAACAACAAACATTACAGTAACTTAACAACATACACAACGGTAACAACGGTAACGCAGTGACAAACACTGTCGTAACACAACACCAGACACAATGGTAACACAATAAGAAACACTACTGTAGCACAGCGACAAACACTAGAGAACACAAGAGCTGCTCGGTTCATTAACATGAATCTCTTTGACCCAGATTGGAGGGACGTACGCCAAACCGGTCATTCTTCCTCCTGAGGTTGCCATTGGAGCTATTGGAAAAGTCCAGGTGAGTTCAGACCTTTGACAGGTGACATGAACATCAGGTGAGCTGACGACATCAACACTCACTAGACTCTCTGCGTTGTCTTATAGTCTGCCTCAAGTGTCACACTGTAACAGTTCAACCGTTGCATCCTCTAAACCCCAAAAGCTGCTGCTTTGTGTGAAACAGTGGGTCTGCGCTTAGTCAAACAGAATGTTGGTGACTAATAATAAAGAGATGCTGAGAACAGAGCAGCTGCACATTCAGAGGATTCATGAGAATAAATCAGCTGCTGGTCCAGAACCAGAACTGTTGAGGAATAAAACCCAGAGCAGGTAGCTGCTGTTTCTAGATAATCCAGATGTTGGTTGTAAAGTTTAAACTCCACTACCTGTCCATCAGTTTGAACTAAGAGCAGAAACACAGACGACTTGTTGACATCAGTCAGTCTGGAGTCGACTGATTCCATCTCAGTTTGTGGCTCTTTCTGCTCTGGTTGTGGGTCTCTGTCGATGTTTTATCAGCTTGTTGGTTTCAGTTAGTTTGCCTCCAAATAAACGTTTAGTTAAAGTAAAGCTGTGAAAAACGGGTATTTTTCTAGCGAGATGATTTTTTTTTGGACAGCACAGTGAGTTTAAAACTTCAGTGCTGAGGTTTTGTAAGCGATGTGACAACATGAACTTCATGATGACTACGAACAAAAGTGTGAAACACGCAAGACAAATCAAAGTTCTCAGGTGTTTTTAATAAAGCTCCGCCCACGCTAACTTGATTCGTCTGTTTTGTTCAGATTCTGCCGCGGTTCGACGCCGCAGGTCAGGTGGTTCGAGCTCACATCATGCAAGTCAGCTGGTCAGCGGATCACCGCATCATCGACGGAGCCACCATGTGCCGCTTCTCCAACCTGTGGAAAGAGTACCTTGAGAACCCGGCCAGCATGGTTCTGGACCTCAAATAGACAGGACAGTTTCCCATCAGCCCCGGGGAGGATGCCACCGACTGCCGCTCCTCCCACCGCCTCTTCCTGTTTCTGAGGCCTTCACACTCTGTCATTTCCTTGTTGCCTTTGAGGGGATGGGGGGGGTCAGCCTGTCAGTCATGGTGGTACCATGGCGACCACACACTGAGTGCAGGTAGACGTAGGTAGTTTGGTTAAAGTGAACTTTATTTGGTTTCTAGGTTTAGACTACAGACTTCAGTCGGACTGAAGGTTTTTATCGTATTTCAGTTCAGTTGTTGCAGGTCAGAGACTTTCTGTTGCTGCTGGACGACAAAGTTTCATTTTGACAGAAATTATCTTAAACTTGCATCTGTCTGAGGTTTAACGTTCATATTCAACATGGAATAAGAAGGAAATCACCACAAGGTCTCGGCAGGATTTGAGGGTTTGTAGATTTTGTCCAGAGCTTTTGGCCCATTCATGCTTTTTGTGTCTGCAGGCCGATAACCAGACTGCAGAACCAGATCTGTTCATACCACAGTAAGGACAGTGTGCTGCACAGCTGCTTTCATTTATCTGCATATGAACCACAGAAAAACAGACAAGGAAACGCAGCTGCCACTGTTGGACTGTAGCTCCGAGTCAGAGGTTATTCCTGAGGTGTCCTGAGCACAGTGGTGAACAGAGCACAGGGTGTCTGGCGAAATGACAACTTGATACTGCGTCTGGGCTCCGTCCATGTAAACATGTACAAAGCCCTGCAGCGACTCCATAGTTACAGCTCTGCTATGCAATAATTATACATTAACATGCAGGTGTGGATGGTGGAGAATCTCCTCATACTTCAGCACCACTTTTCCTGCACATGCTCAGTCGGTGAGCTGGTAGTGCAAACACTGGTCATAGATTTGTACATTGCATGTTAAAAGTTTGCGCTGACCTTCGCATGTTTGGATGGATGATGAATTTACATCACGTGTTTATTTGCAGACACAGAAAGTATGAATTGGCCTTTACATGTTCACATGTTTGAGTCCTGCACACATGGTGAGTCTAAGAGCAGGAGCTGAACACAGAGCTGAGAGTTCAGCCATCACATCAGTGTTAACAGGAAACTCAGATACTACAGTCGGTACAGTGTCAGTAAACACGGTTAGAGTTAGGGTTTTGGCTAGTCTAACCCTAAACACTGTTTCATTAGGAGCATGCATCATGTGAGCTTGAAACAACAACAATAACTACGAGTTGATTCCTTTATCAATGTTTTTCTTTACTGTAAAATATTGATGATCAGCAGCGTTCCACTGCAGGAATGTTTCTAGGAATGAACCTTTTAGTCTGTAGATCCAACAGCTTCATGTTACTTCCGAGACCAGAACCAACAGTTCCTGGATTAAGTCCAGTTCTATGTGGGAAC